CAAGACTAACGACCAATGATTTAATGGAGTGTAATGACCAATGAGGAGGTCGAAAAATTAAAGTACCTCGGCTCTGTACTAACATGAGATTGAGGCTACAATATAAAAGCAGAGCTGCGCTTAAGGCCACATCTGTGATCATCGGCTTTCTAATGTATCGCAAGACCGATCTATCTGGACAGGAACAAAGACCACCATACTGAAAGCCGCCGTTTTATCAGTCCTGGTGTACAGCCTTGGAGCATAAACCCTTTCAAAGTGCATGAACGTTTGTTGGAACTTTTCAGCAGCGCTGCCTGTGGTATGTACTGAAAGAATGATGATTCTGTCTAATAAAGAACGAAAAAATCTGGCAGACAACCAGCCTGAGAATGCTGGCTGAAGAAATCAGTGACCGGGGTCTGTCCTTGTCTGACGGAAATATCCGGAGAGAAAGTGGAAACTAGCCCAAAATTATTCTCCTCTGGGAAGCAAACAATGGCCGCAGGGGTCGGAGGCCAACATTGCACTCTTAAGCAGCTGCTAAAGACGGAACTTTCAACCAGAAACTTGCCGTTTCAGCCGCAACCAACATCGCCTAGTTAATCTGAAAAAGTAAATCTTCAGACATCTGGGTACACTGTCTCTGACCCTAATACCCCACATGGCCATGAAAAATACAAGTCGAGGTAGATCTACAATCCTATCATAGAGTCTTTTTTGTAACTGCAGTCGGAATAAGGTAAATTAAGCTTTGTCTTGTCATCCAGGGGACAACACAGCAATACGTAAGAGAGTGAGTTTACGGTCGCATGCCTAGAGCTCGTACGATTTCTCCCAAAATTTTCCCTGCGGAATTTTTGATCTGGATTGGATTTCCTAATTCGTTTGGACGACCAATTTCTAATCACAATGTGATATTTTCATGCGGATGAGTAAAATAAAGTTGGAATAAATCAGATAAAAAAGAATAGCGTCAGCATCAATTGTACACACACAGACATTAACGGTCAAAAAAGAATATCTGACGAACGCAAGATATATACTGACTGTCGTTTTTCGCCGCTTGAATCTCTTGCAGCAATATGTTGCACACAAATACGCCTGTTTATCCCAAACTTCAGGACAATTGTCGCATTTTCGAAGGTTGCACTATTGGGCCAAAATATTTATATCAAATGTAGTAACAAATCATACTTTAATTCGTTCAGCAGAAATATGCTATCA